TACCAAGGTACATAGTACTCAATTACAACATTTTCCAATATACCAGGGCCTTAAAATATTCAATAAGTTGCCGTCACATATTACAAATTTACAGTTTATGAATAAATTCAAAAGCAAACTTAAATCGTGGCTAAAACAAAATGAGTTTTATTCACTGGATGAGTTTTTTTCAAGTACAACCGGTTAATATAATTCCTTATTTTTTATTTTTGTGTAATTATTTCCATTTAGTCCATTTAATATTCTATTTTGAAGCTTATTTATATATGTATATATTACGTACTCGAGCTTTTTTTTCCTCTACGCCTTATATGACTTGGCTGTTTTGCATATTAATTTTTATTTATGTTTGTAATTAATATACTACTTGTAAAACAGTTGAGGAATAAATATTATTATTATTATTATTATGTATAATAAAATTGTTCTTGGAGTATTGACTTCAGTTAGGTACATGAGGTGAGGATAGGCTATGTCAATTATCATAAGTTAAATGTTATCGGTAATTATATTGATACAGTTAGGGAGTTTGGCAATTTTTGTAGTTGTTCGATGTTTGGAGTTTGGCGATGCAAAGGAAACGTCTCGTGGTAATGCGACCGCTAGGCTGTGGTTAGTTAGTTTACGGTGGCTGTGGTGAAGATTCGTACTGCTATATCTGTAAGCAACCTGGACATATCTCGACGACCTGCTTAAACAAGCCTGAAACCCACTGAACTAACTCCATCAGCCAACTACGCTCCATTCCAAATTGAAATAGGCAAAACCACTACTGGAAATGGCTATCAGCTCCTTTCATCAACAATCGATCAATTATCATTCGATCCTAAAAATAAACGCCAGCTATCAGAAACCGCTACAGATACGTCTCCGGAGATTATCGACCCAACAACCAACAAAATGGAAGAAAAGTTTAAAAAACTCCCACAAACCAAGGAAAAGAGTAAGCACCGAAGAAATACCAACACCTAATACTCGTGGACAAGGCAAAACAACGCAACCAATTTAAAAACTTTATGAATGAAATGGGACTCCCTGAAAACAGAAAGAAAACATGTCAACGATGTTGAAGGATTATTAGAAACATTCAAAGATTTCTACAACCCCCTCGAACACCAAAAAATAAAGTACAGATTTACTAGGATTATCACCAATTTACGTAAACAACTAGGAAATGAAGACCTATCCAAAGATTTAGTCTCTGAGAGTCCACGTACTAAAATATGATAACTTTTCTGCAATGTAATACAATGGATAAGAGTTGAAACAAATAATATCAAAAGAAAACCCAATAGCCATTGCCATACAAGAGTCACATCTAACCCCAAACAATGCTACCCCCTTAAACGTTACGTAGATATACGACTAGACTACTATCTGGGACTCAAGGCTTCAGGAGGTGTACACCTTTATATAAAGGAACCTTTTTTTCTCAATAAAATTAATCTAGTAACAAACCTGCAAGCAGCGGCGTGCGAAATCATCCTCACAGATAAGCAAAGAAAACTAAGTATATGCAATCTATACATTTTATACCCCTTCTCTCACAACCAAGTGGAACCTAAAAACAGCAAATTGGAAAGGATACGAAAACTTCATCTCACAACAACTATCAGAAAACCAACCAAAGGAATACAATAAAACAAAAAAATTACCCTGGTGGAATCGTGTGCTATTCTTATCGGTCAAAGAAGAAAAGCACTAAGAACTTTCAGGAAACATAAAAGTACTGAAAATCTCATAAAATACGAAAGAATAAAGGTAAGCTTTCTAATCAACCGAATGTTTAGAGTACGACCAAATGGCGAAATCTTGGGCAAGGACACCCAAATGAATGGCATACCCCAAGGATCAGTGTTAAGCTGCATACTTTTCAATCTGGCAATCAAACAGCGTCGCCGAAGAAATCCCGCCACAAATGAAAGACTTCCTATATGCAAACGTCCTAACCATCTACCGAAGAACAGATGACTCAAAATTCAACCAAAAACTACTACAACGGACCTTATTTTCTCTTGAGGGAATCTTTGACAGAAAACTGACATGGCACGGACATATAAAAAAACCAGTTGCCACATTTTTGACAGAGCAGCTTCCTATAATAGTTCAAAGCCAATAAAAAATAACGTTTTTGACAGTCTTAATTCTTTATGCCTAATATAAGCTGCCAAAAGTTATATTAATTTGCTGTATGTGGTTTTATTATTAAACACTAAATTGTTCAAACTTCAACAGGAAAATTTTTCTTGACCTCTTACAGAATTCAATGTAATTTGGATGTTATATCTTAAACGATTATTAGTTACGGTCCATTTCTTTATTGGTACATAATTGAAAATAGCTTTGTTTTGGATTCCTTCTATTGTTTTGTGCATCTTTTTCCTAACACACGACGATTCAACGCATTTTCTTTCTGCGATCTTGACGCAATTACCATCAAGCATGCGAAAAATTGTTTAACGATCTTTTAAAGTGTGCCCTAAGTCCCAAATCACAAAACTTGCATCCTTTTCGTGGGCTCTTTTTTTAAGAAAAGATTCTGCAATTAATTCCCGTTTGTCAAAAAAAAGAGCACACGATTGCGATTTGGGGCTTAGAGCTTTTTTGAGTTTTTTAACTTTGACATTATCACCTGGTTTCAAGTGTTTTGCACTTTTGTTGTGATTTCGTTTAAAATATTCCTGTCTGGCTTTAAAGTTTTTTATGTGTTTTTATGTGAGCAAAATTCAATTTGTCTAACACGCTGTTTGGTCTTAACAGTACCAAAATGAAGTTCGTGAAGAAGACGTAAAATATAGGATCTAAGTTTATCAGGGACTATTAAACGGTGGTTTATATTTATATTGATATTTATCAAACCATTTCCACAGATAATTCTGCTTGAAACTAATAATATTTTCTGGCAAGTAATTTAACACTTATTTATATTTAAGTAAGTTTATTCTCATTCTTTGCAAACGCCAATTTTTTTATTCATTAGAGTTACCAAAAGTTTGCGATCTATGTTTACTTTTATTTCGCGACCATAAATGAAGGTATGAAACTTTTTCACAGCAAAAATAACGGCGAGAAGCTCCTTCTTTATTTGGGCACAATTTTTCTCACTAGAACTTAAGCTACCAGAAGTAAATGAAATTGGTTTGTCGCCTTGAAGAAGACAGCACCCCAACCATCTTTGGATGCATCGGCTTGAATGGTGATTGATTTATATCCGTCAGTTAGCTAACACCGGGGTATTAGATAACTATGTTTTTCATTTTACCTAGCACAATTGAGTGTGCAGTTAACCATTTAAATTCAACTTTTTTCTTTAATAATTCCCGCAATCAGCTAAGTATAAACTGTCGCAAATCATTTATCATTCCTAAAATACTCCGAAAAGATAAGACCAAAATAATTAACAGAGGGCTGCTTAAATTGAACCTTGCTAGGCCTCCATTTGCAATAGCTCCTACGATCACCGAATTTAAAATTCGATCATGTTCCTCAGAGGAATCGGCAGCTATCAATAGATCATCAATGTACACTTCAACAGTGGCCGTCCTTGAAGTTTCCAAAGATTTTTTCGTTAATGGCATAAAATATTCTGCAGCCCTATTAAGCCCAAAAGGCAAACAATTAATTAACAATCAAAGTGTGTAGCATAGATCACTAGACTTTTCCTTAAGTTCTAGATGCTAGAAACCTTCCTTTAAATGGAGCACTGTAAAACACTTTTTACCTTTAAGGACTTTTTTATTCTGATTTCTGACCCCAATACTGTTGATGGCGAACTCCAACTCATCAGGTTGCTCGTCCTGTTCTTGTAGCACCTTCACATTTATTACTCGACATGAAATTGTAAAATGATTTAACTGTCCACATTTATTGCAATTTTTGCCAAAGGCAGAATATTCACGAACTCCATGAACAATCTGGCATCTTCCGCATTGAAACTCTTTCTTCACACCACTGGTTTTGGAAACAGACATAATTTCCGTTTGACCTTTTCTTAATGACCTCAACTTCGGCTAAAACCTCTTCGAACTTTCTAGCCTGAGATTTTGAAATTTCGACGGCCTTCGACAAATCAAGATCCACCACCTGTAACAATCTTTCCTGTATGACCTCGTCATAAATCCCTAAAACAACTTTGTCCCGAACGATCTCATCACTTAATAATCCAAATTCAAAGGACTTCAGATAACTTATTGAACTGATCGAATCCGTCTCCTTCTTGGTGTACTATAAAACTTAAAAGGCTCAAACACGATATCTTTATTGGGACTACAATGGTCATCGAAAGCTTTGAGTACCGCTGGAAATAACACCCCGTCAATTTCGGACAACGTAAATGTATTGTACATTTCCACAGCATCTTCACCGATTATAATTAATAGAATATGTCTGCTTTAGTTTCATTGTCGTTTGCTGACTTATCGGAAGCTTTCAGATAAATTTCAAGTCCAATCCAAGTCAAGTATTTGGAAGCAGTTTACTGACCTTTGCTCTGAAAAAAGTCATGAATTCGATAGGGAAAACATATCTGTGGAGGAATTGGCAACGATTATGGAAGATTATAGATTTAATATGCACAAGAAAAATTTGGAAGGTTGTAGGAGACTGTTGTCAAAGTGTTGTAGAATTCTACTGCCAAACAATTGAAGGAATATTTTTAAGAAAAGTACAAACACAAATTTGGACCCTTTTCGGATGTGGAGTTGGCAAATGCTAGGTCTGCACGAAAGGCCAAACGTCGACAGTTACAAAAAAAAAACCTTCAAAAAGGCGGGCAAGTGCATCAGCTTTATCAGTATCGGAATTGAAAAAAATAATTGAACTTTGGGAAGGTGCTGCAAAACAAATTTTTTCAAATTGCTGCTCATGGACTAGCTTGAAGAGGTGGAGAAGGGATTGCAGCATGTGTGGAATATTTAGAAGAAACTGATCACGAAGGGAAAGTTACTAGGGGGTACGAATATAATTTAGGGTGACAAACCAACATCAAATTAATGCTAAACTACGGTATACTATTTATTCTGTATTCTATTTCGTTGTTTGTTTCTTATAGTAATCACGAGACAGGTATGTATAAAGTATCTGTGCCATTGTGGCGTATTAGACCGGAAGCGAAAATTGGGTTCACACTGGTCACCCGCAAATGTTCAATAAGTTGTTAGATATACTTTAGTATACGAAGTATTTTATAAATTAATTAATTTGTTTAAACTAAACAAGTGAAGTGAGAACATGGCAGTTTGCAACGAAACTGATTAAATTCTGGTGTGCCCATAGTCACTAATCATCCCCAGATACCACGTTTTTAACAGTTTCTTTAAGAGGTCCAATTTCTTGGTCTTGTGCCTCCTGTACTGGTCTACAGTATTTGCGTACAATGGGCGTGAGAAGTTTTGGATTAATCACTTGGTTATCTTCCGTTTTAGTTACCCAACTGACCACAGCTCCGATTACTATCGTGGTCATTGCTCCTATTAGCTCGAAGTACTGAAACGAAACTCGAAACAACCAAAACGAAGTTTCTGGTGAAGGCCTAAAAAAATCAAAAAAATTTCTTGCATCGTGTCAAAGAAAAATACTCAACGGTTGAGGTGTTGCCGTAACATTCAAAGTGAAATTGCTGAAGGTGGTGGTGTTACATCCGTATGTATGCAACGATTTTGGGGTATGGTGAATGAATCCGTTTCGGACGTAGATGCTGTTATTTACCACTATCACCCCCATCAATAAAACCGATGCGATTGCGCCAAGAAACGCGCCCTAAAATTACTTTATTTCGAGTTACTGTGAACTGTACTGATATTACCTTAGAATTGGCAAAAGGAAGCAGTACGCCCAAAGTAAATACCCCGAACATGGTTCCACCGGTAGTACCCCTAACGTAGTAGCTTAGCTCAAAGACCGTGCCACCATTTTCCAGTAAATATATAAAAGCTATTGACAACAGCCCAAAAATTACAACTAGCAGCTTCATAATAAAGCTAGGGGCTTTTCTTAAAACCTTTTCGCTAATAATCCATGGAGCGATATCGTTGTAAACTATTCCGGACAGCGTATTTAGTAACGTCGAATATATGCTGAAAATACTTCGCTAATCAATCATTGTTAGTATTTAATTACCTTAAAGATGATCCAAAGAACGCCGCTAAAAATAAACCATTAAATCCCGGAATGGACGTAGTGAGTTCGGTTATGAAGTACGGAAGGACTTGGTCTGCCTTTTTAATCGCTCCAATTGACTTCGGATCGCAATCAAAATATTTTGCGTACATAACCAACCCTAGTGTCATGCACAAGACTTTCGCTAAAGTATAAATCGTCGAATATGAAGCGATTAAGCTACAAGTTCATTCGGATTTCCACAATTGTCATTAAGCCTAACTCACCGAGGTATTAATCGCCTAGGTATTGTAGAATATCTCTGAACCTCGTGAGGCGACGTGCAAAGAGTTACGCATGAGGTAGCCGTGGATCCCAGCAAAATCGTCCAAAAGCTCACTCTAACGGTCGGGTCAGGGTTGAAACTATGAAAGAATAGAGAGCGTCAATGTTTTTGATAGTTATAGGTAAGCGTACTCAAAAATTTTTAGCCTGTCACCATCGCTTGCACGATGGATAACTTCGCTAACGCTTCCGGTTGATACAATTCCCATTACTATAAGCGCAATTACAAGAGTAATGGTAATGGATAACTGCACCACATCGCTCCATGTGACTCCTTTAATTCCTCCCAGGCTGGTATAGAGCATACATACACATGTCATGACCGAGGCAATTATATATAGGTTAACGCCCGTTGCTAAAATACGGTTTTGTGTTTTCTTTCAAATTTCGCATCGAATTACCTTGGCTAAATGTAAGCGAAGGAGTGTACATACACAAAGGAAGAACGCACATATACGTCCCTACTGCGATCAACATGATCAACTTCCTTAAAAAACCATTAAACCTCATTTCCAAGTACTCGAAGATGCTGGTCATCTTCAAGTTGCTAAAGACAGGCACGTACAAGAAATAGTTAGCTAAACTCGCGAGTGCTATCGAAAAAGTCATTAGTATAACTTGACTTCCATGGAGATACACCTCGGTCGCTAACCCTACGATTGAATGGCTGGACAGTGCACTAAAATTTAAAGGTAGAATATCGTCGACCACCACCTTAAGGTATACCTTGCGGTTAAACTTATACTTACCGCAAACCATTTCATGTTTTTCCCACCGAAGAGGTAGTCCTCGATTGTCTTCTGTCTTGAAAATAATCCGAAATATAAACCTACAATGCAACTTATCGCGGTAACGATCGTGAATATTGCATAGTCGATCCATGTGAAGCCGTTCGTCGCCATTTTAAGCTAACTGAAACTCGATTAACACGTTTGAATCTATTGGACTAAATTAGTTTACCTACTTTAAGAATCTTGCATATTCGTTTTGATTTGCATAAGTTAACATACATATTATTCGAAAATGCGTAACAAGGATTTCACAGAAAGAACCAGACAACATCATGCAAATTTGGTATAATTATGTTCTTGGCCACTTTACTACTGAAAGACTCACGAAGGATGTTGTTCTGGTAGCTTATTCTGCCTTTGAGTGATCAAGTTTAATATGGGCATTTTTTTAGTATGTGACGTATTTTTAAAACATGTTTAAAAGGAATACTAGCAGATACTTCATTGTTAATGAATGTTAGGACGTTTGTCAAAAAATATTTCTGCCTTCTGAAAGTGTCCGCCAAACTCCCTGGGAATTTCCATGTACTGGGAAGGGAGCGTTGCGTAACTACTTACCGCATACATATTTGAACAAGTTGTCACTAAAACAAAATTAACTTGAATGAATCAAGCGGAACCTGAAGAACGCGCATTCGAGAGTAAAATACCACCTTGCTTGGGAGAAGCTATAAAAACAATTTGAACATTTAAAAAAAGCCCATGGAAAATGCTTGTCTTTGCTGTAACATTATACTTTCAAAAATAAGAAGAAAGAGTGCATTGTGCACATTTCTAATTTTCCTTCGGATTTATAAAAAGAAATACTTTTACTTTCCCGGAAACTACTCAGTTTCTTGAATTGTTCTAGTTTAGGGGCAGAATCCCTCTCTTTTCTGAGCTGTCTTCTTATCACCCTCCAGCCTAGACTTTCTGATGCCCCACAGTAGAGTTCCGGTTCAATCTGGGGATGGTTGGTCCTGGCCCTATCAAGGCAATCAGCCTCCTAGTTACCTCATGGCTTGCCACCCACACAAACTAACACGATTACGCCTGGCTATTTCTTCCAGTTTTGTGTGGCATTCCACGAACAGTTTATTGTGGTCAGGGATAAGGCTGATAGAGCCTTGAAAATTGTCTGATGGTCCAAGCAAATGTAAATGCGCCCTTTGACCACAATTCCCCCTGCGCACCTATTTATAGCTATATCCTGGACTGGAAATACTGTAGGAGTGGTTCTTAAGACTATTAAGAGAGCGTAGTTCGGCGCTCTTATGCCTATTCCCCACCTCTTCCTTCGAGTTGGAGCCATCTGTGTGCCAGCATAAAGCTCCACCATGTGGTCTGAGATATGTACTCAGGAATGTTTAATTGTTGTACAATCTGCAATATGATTGCTCACCTCTAAGTGAAGAGGCCCAGCGAGACCTCCATGGCAGCTGTGGGTGTAGTGCTCATTGCTCTAGTAAAACTCGGACACGTTGGAGCATGTTTAGTTGAGTCTGGGGGCTACTTTTTCTTCAGCTTTGGACCACCATACCACTGCAAGGGCTTTTATGCAACGTCTTGTGCACTGGTCGGTATCTTTGTCTTTTACTGCTTCATCAATGGATTCCTATGAGGCGCAGTTGAATGCCCCCCCCCCCATTTTCCAGGAAATAGACTAAGGTCGATTCTTTTAGCGTGTTTTTCCCAATCTTAGCTATCTAGTTGAGGTTATAAAGAATGGTTTCCGTAGAGCGTCCCTTTTGGTATGCACGTTGATTGGAGTGAAGGGTTTCTTTCATTTAAGACTCTTCCCTTGTAACCTCTCCCTGAAAGTGGGCGAGGCTTTGAGAGGTCCTTTTCTACTCTCCCCATCGTTTTAAAGATGAAAGGTAGGTTCCTGAGACTCTTACGCGCCTTAGGAATAAAAACCACATCTACAATTTGTTGGCAGAACGGGAAGTTGGAGGCCTCCTGATGTCCTGTGGTCAACAGAGCCCGGGAAGCGGGTTCGCATCAGGAGCTCTATAGCTGAGCCAGTGTGTTCCCCCACTGGTTTTCTTCTCTTGTAAGAGTATCTTCCGTAAGCGAGAGGCTATGGGAATTTCTTCTATCGTCTCATAGATCTCTCCCATAACGCTCCTTTTCCTTCGAAGTCGCCTTATCATACTCAGTGAGGAACGTTCTATATTCATCTCAGCAACCATTGCGCTTGGCTTTGTTAAAAACTCTTCTGGTGGTTTCCTGAGCTTCCCTAGCTCATTATTCCACCAAAGATTGTTTTTATTTGCTTTAGCCCGCTTCAGCAAACAACTCTCCTCAAAACAGAAGAGAAGAGCATCAGTGAGCAGTGTGGCAAGTCTTGATCCATTACCCCCCTGCAGAATCCTCCGGTGTTGCTTTTCAATAGTTCCACGTACAGTGCCCAATTTGTTGTACGAGGATCTCAGTATGAATGTTCGGTTAGTTTCTAAATCTTTATACTATGTGGTCCGATAAAGAGGGCGCGTCAGAGACCCTCCATCCCATTATTCTTAATGCTAGAAAGGAAGAGCAAAAGGTAATAGCCAGGACTTCTTTCCTGTTCCTGGTTACAAGTGTGTCCGTGCTGACCAAGTGGAGGTGGTGTGAGGAAGTAGCCTTTTTGCCTTGCAGTATCTGCTCAGCCTCCGTACCTTCGTGGCGGAGGCACTGCTGGCTCGTTCTCACCCGAAGCATACACTATTTTGGAAACACCGGAGCTCATTGGCGCGTCGACCACCACAGACACCAGGTGTCTCTTGTTATGAACTCTAAAGGAGGGAAGGCTGTTACGAAGGCCTTTACGAAAACCGCTGCCCTGGGGCAATTGTTCCCTCTTTCGTTTCTGAAAAATTAGGATAGCCCTTCATAAGAGAGTTAATTACCCATGGTTCCTGTATAAGGGGCCATCTAAATATTCTTTGGTGAACGTTGTGCACAGTGCGCTGGCTCCTTTCGCCCTTTGTAGGTTCACCTGTATAAATTCCACGTCGGTGCCTTACACTTGAGCAGAAACCTTTCCTTTGGCTTTAGTTGCCACACGACCAGGTCTGTCTCGTTGGGGCAGTTCAGCTTTTCCCGACTTCCATTGAAGTCAACTAGGTGAGACCTGCTTTGAGTGTTCCACGTTCCACCAGAGGCTTTTTGGGGTTTTCGCATTAATGCCTGAATTTTGGTTATGTAACCATTTTAAAATGTGGTCTGGTCGACTCTTCTGCCTCTCCCTGAAAGTGAGCGAGACTTTGAGTGATCCTTTTCTTCCGGAAGTTCAAGTTGAGCTCCTTACCACAGTTTGACAGTTGCACCGTGGTTTTTCAACCACTGGACTGTCTCCACGTCCATACAGGAGAGCATTAGCCAACCATGTTTGGTAACCATTCGTAGAAACAAGTCTTTCTCTCCCCTTCACCGTCAAATATCGCTTCGATTATGTTGGCTTTTAATAATTTCAACTTATCATAGAGGATGATATCCAGATTATGGTCTGTCGAGATGATCCCTACTTTGATGCGCTGTAAAGCTTCCCACCTATCTCCTTAGAAAGAGAAATTGAGATGATTGACCGGGTTTTTTTAGGGCATTATCTGATTCTCTGCTCCTTTCCTTACTATTCGCTCCTTGAGCTTGCTGACCCTCCTGAGGCTTTTGTTGGATCTTGTTTGACTTTGCAGCCATGACTCCAGCCTCCTTTGAGTTGTGTCCTGCAGCTATTAGTTTTTTGAACCGTTTGCTCCACAAAGTTTTATTTGTGGGGTGGGCTTAAAATTTCATGGT